CAAAAATATCAGCAATGTGGATTTAGCAATCACTCCTACTGCAGCAATATTTTCCCATTGGTGATCTATCGGCACTTTTTACTATTATTAGGCTTGACAATGATTCAAAGTTGTTATAAAAACCCTTGCTTATGTTAATTGAATCAAAGAAAAATTGGACAGTACTTGGCACGCGTAATAACATATTCTCTTTGGCTGTAACAATGCATTGGCATTTCCTGGTCGCAGCTGTCTTAGCCACAGTGAGCTTGATAGTGTCAGGTGAGGCTAACTTGACCACCTACAAACTCAGTCTGCGTTGGCCACCTTCTGTCTGAAATGATCCAGCAAGCTTCAAATGCAAACCAACGTTCTCGACACTTTTACCATCCATGGTTTATGGCCACAATTCGCTAATGGCAATCTGGTGCCTCCCTATGATCCGGAAACAAATAGATGCACCGATGTCACTCTTGTGAGTCTAGACCAATTTTTGGAAAGTTAAATTGTTTCTGGTTTTGATGTATTCTTTAATAATTTTTCATTGGTTTCTATTGCTTATCCATTGGTTTATTCAAACTTGTAGAATCTAGTGACACCCCTCCATGAGTTCTTAAGGAGATTTTGGCCAAACTGTAGAGACTATCAGAATCGGACAATTAACAAATGAGAATTTTTGGAAACTTGAATGGAAACTTCATGGAATGTGTTCTGATTATCTTAACAATCCTTATCGTTATTGCAGGACCACTGTATTTCTCACCATCAAATACATTGATCCATTCAAAGGTAAAGTATATACACAATTTAATACTAAATATACAACTTTTATCCGGTAAATGTAAGTTATTAATCATAACTTTAATTTCATATATATAAAACCTTGTTTAATTGAGGGTTCATGACAATAGATAAAGGACTTGAAGGCAACTTGAAGCTCACCACATGTCCAACTCTCAAAGTTAAATTGCAAGCTATTTATAATTTTTGAAATTTTTAAATTCAAAAATTGAAATTTCATCGTTAAAACATGTCTCTGAATATACCTATTTCTAAGATAATACCTCAATAGTTATAACCTGAGATTCCACAATGAAAGTCTCAAATTCAAATTCTAAGATGGTGAAGTGACATGCAGAGAATGGAAGAGGGTTATCTCTCATATATTATGTAGCCCAAGATCATAAGACAATATATTTCTTTACATAGTATAATTAATTGGTATCATATATATCAATGAATTTAAAATATCATAAAGAGATATTTTAATAGTTAGAATTTAAACTTTCATCATATGAAATGGGAGTACATTACCTCTTTCTACATAACTGAAATTCAATAACTTTCACACGTTAAAAAAAAAAAAACAAAAGGAAAGCAGTATCGATTTTATATGTCCTCCTTTCCAACCTGCAAGCACAAGAATTAAACCCCGACTAATTCCTTATATGGCCAAAGATATATCAGATGCTATCAAAGAAAACCTTGGAGTGTATCCTCAAATTTTCTGTAACCAAGTGAGGGGAACAGTCCAACTGAAGGAGGTCCGGTTACGCATTAAAAGAGGGGACAGTGAAAACCCACCATCCATCCTTCAAGACTGCCCCATAAGATATGCTAATAATTGTTCAGATGAAACTGACAAAATCACGTTCACTCCTCATGATCTAAATGGCTAAAGGAGAAGTAGAACTAGCTAGTTCCCATAGCTAGTGGGGATGTTGTGAAGTGGCAAATAAGCATAAATAAACCTGGAAAGCTATGTACTTAAATTGCTTTCTAGCAATGTTTTCGTAAACTTTGCCACACCCTTAAAAGCTATCTAATTGGCTTGACTACCACTGGTACTTGGCAGTACGAATCACTTTACCTGTATTTCGAATGTACTTTAATGAAATTTCGTGTGTTTAATGTTGGATGAGAAATATATCTAAAACAAAAGATTATATGAAGCGTTATTGCACATTAGCAAACACGTAATCATAATGTTAAACACATCAGAATTTGTATGAAGCTCTCTCATACGATCTTTCTCCTCATATATTGCATTATTTATGGATGAATTTCACTTTTTTGAGTTCAGATAATTTACAAAGAATTTATAAAGAATCCAAAGTTAACAATACAAAAGAGCAAAAACAAAGAAAAAAAAAAGAATGTTAGACATTTTAGCTCAAGAATAACGAGGAAATGTCCAAGAGGGGGTAAATTGGATACCAAAAATTTCTTTTCTTCAAATTAAATTTTCAATGAATGCAAGCTTGAAAATAAGTTCTCAAATTTGATTTCACTTTAAAACAAAAATAATATAGAAACCAAATGAACAAGTAAGTAGAAAGCGGATTTTCAAGACTCTTCAAAAGTGAGATGCGCAAGTATACCAAAGTATAATTAAAGTGTTTT